ATTTACACACTTTTCCTGAAGATAGAAGAGTTTGTTGAATCTGACGTGACATGTTCGTACGAACCCTTTGTACGAACAAAAGTAAGAGAAATTTAGGAAAGAATACGAACATGTTCTTGCATGAGGCCCAGTGTTTTTTGAACAGATGAGGAGTACATGTTTACCCATAATGCACAGCAGCACGTCTGGATAAAACTAAAGAACCACCAACACAACAGGTGCTGGTTCGCAGAAAGATCTGAGATGTTCCTCATTACTGAACCCTTGTGTTGCAGGTGATGCCCGCTCAGAGCCCCACGTTTCCACGAGGAACCTCCCTCCTGACCGGTGCTCTGGTGGCCCTGGGAATGCAGGAGGACCGGCCTGCTCTCAACCTGCTGCCCTCCCTCCTCTTCCGTCTGCGCCACAGCAGGAACTGACGCCAGAGTTTCATCCGTGTGGTTCGGACTGTGTTCTGTCCCTAACAATCACATCCTGATGCCTCTGAAGGAGCTACACATTCACCAGTTTCCTCCGATTTGCCCATTCGTTCTGCTGCCAACTCCAAGTTGAGCTTTTTAGGTTGACGTTTACCAGTTAGCTGCCGGATGTTTGCACGTGTAAACGCCACCAGATCTGAACCGTTGCTCCTTTATTAGCCTAGAAATAAATGTTTAGATGCAGGCTGACTCATGTCAAAGCAACCAGCGTGAGGATGGTGCAATAAAATAAAAGCTGGATCTGTTCTCCTGCTTTGCAGCAAGCAGCTTCATTCATCACATGTTTATTTCATTGTTTTTTTTACCATAAGTGCAGCACAAATGAAGAGATGTGATGATTTGAGGGGGAGATGTTTGGAGGAGGAAACCCTGAAACCACAAACTAACCAGTAACTCTTAGCATTGACAGTAATGTATGCAGCCAAATAAATAGTTTTAACACTGATTGAGTCCAGTTCATAATAAATTATTCTAACAGTTCCTCATATCTGACTGAAACTTTGATCAGGGTTACTACAGAGACTTAAAGGAAAAATATTTGCTGGATTTTTTTTTATTTAGATCATTACAAAAATGAAAGCAGCTGAAATAATAAAAATTCTATGAAAGTGGCCAAAATATAAATAAAACCAGTAGTTTGGTGTTTGTTCAGCTGACGTCTCAGTCATGGTTCAACAGATGTGAGCTGCTTTATTCCCCTGAAGACTAAACGTTTTATTTAATCTCGTGTTTATTTTACACACACAGATTTCACAGTGGTTCTATCGTTTCATATTTTGACATTTTCCTGAAATTTAAGTAATTCCATATTTTTTCTTCCACTTGATCTGAAATTGTAATTGCGACTGACTAAATCAATAAATGTATTTGTTAATTCTCTGATAGAGAATCTCTGGAGATGATGGTGCAAAGAAGGATTTTACATCAAATCAAGAACATTGTGGACAACCCTGACCATCCTCTTCATCAGACTGTCATAGAAACACAGAGTGTCTTCAGTCGGAGGCTTCTTCAGTTTGGTTGTAATACAGACCGCTACAGAAGATCTCACAGTAAATTTAGCAGTGTTAATTCAACACTTTAAGAGTTAAATTCAGCACTGTGTCCAAGTCTATTTGGTCCTTAACTGAACTGGTGTCAATTTAACTCTTTTCATAGTGTTAAATTTTCAGAGTACAATTTAACTCTAAACAGAGTTAAAATTTAACACTGACTAACACTGTACAGTGTTAATAAAACTTAACAATGTACAGTGTTAATAAAAATCAACACTGACTAACACTACAGTGTTAATCAGAGTTAATTTTTTAACGCTAAAGAGTTAAAAAATTAACTCTAACACTGTACAGTGTTAAGTTTTATTAATACTGTACAGTGTTAAGTTTTATTAACACTGTACAGTGTTAGAGTTAATTTTAAACTCTAAACAGAGTTAAAAATTAACTCTGAATAACACTGTAGTGTTAGTCAGTGTTAATTTTTATTAACACTGTACATTGTTGTTTTATTAACACTGTACAGTGTTAATCAGAGTTAATTTTTTTTAACGCTAAAGAGTTAAAAATTAACTCTAACACTGTACAGTGTTAATAAAACTTAACACTGAACAGTGTTAAGTTTTACTAAATGTACAGTGTTAGAGTTAATTTTTAACTCTGTTTAGAGTTAAAAATTAACTCTGATTAACACTGTACAGTGTTAGGTTTTATTAACACTGTACAGTGTTAATAAAACTTAACACTATACAGTGTTAACACTACAAGTCAAATAACTCAGAGTAATTATTAATCTAAACAGAGTTAATAAGGTACTCCACTGTGGTGACAAATCAACTCTGATTCTCATGTTTTTCAACACTGAGTTATTGTTGGTTAACACTAGCGATACTTCCTATAAGTGTTAATTTGACACTGCTCTTGCTGTGTAAAGGGGTGTAAAACAGACACTATGAGGTGTCATTACACAGTAAATTTGAAAGTAAGTTTAACACTTCGGTGTTAAACTCTTTAGTGTTGCATTAACATTACACAGTAATTACTGGGTAAGTGTAACGGAGTCGACCTTCACACACGAGGAAGTACCTCTCACTCATGGTGTCGTTTTATGGTCAATAACACAAACTTAAACTTGAACAACTGATAAAACCGAACAAAACAACTAGAAAAACAAATTTTTACTCTCATGAACGTCTTTAATAGTCATAAACATACAAACACATCATTTCTACAAGATTACCCAGCATTCCTTGCTGTGAAAATACTGGTGTGTCTGACATGAGGTGGAAGAGGGCGGGGCTTTTCAGAATACTGCTTTCAACACTGCATGGTGTCATATTACAACACTGTTAAGTGTTATATAAGACTTAGTGGGCGGGGCTTATTTAACACTGTCCAGTGTTGAGACAACACTGAGGAAATCAACACTGTGAATTTACACCAACACTGGGTGTCAGTTTAGTCAAAGTGTTAAAATAACACTAGGGGGAGTTAAATCGACACTGAAAAGTTTAACACTGAAATTTTAACACTCTGGTTCCTGCCCACAGCCATCAGCATCTACAATAACTCTTTAGTTAAATGAGTTATAACATCTGATTTCCCTCTGGGATCAATAAACTCAAAGTATTTTTGAATTGAATTGTTTTGACAAAAATTGTAATTTAGAAGTTAAGACATCTGTGATTTATTATTCTGTAGAAAACTGAACAGTTGAAAGAACGTCGTCTAAGAACGCTGATGCCGTCATTTTTTCCAGGAGTCATAGAAACTGGGCAAAACTATCAAGTTCTTCTAATTCTAGCATGTCACCTAGTATACAACCATAGATCATTCCACGTTACACAAACTGTGTGAAACCTTTTGTGTGAAAGTAACTCAACTCCAAAACAAATGTTTTTTTTTTTAAATTATTTTCCTGCACGGAACTATCATTGAAACTAACGTCAACTTGAGTCAAACTGAGCTCATTGCTGTACAAACTTTTACAGTAAATTTACAAACATTTTGATGTTAAAATGATTAAATAAAGCAAACAAATATTGAAAATAATTTAGAAAAGTATGGAATCGTCACATATAAAACCTGTAGGAAGCCTGTTTAAAGGAACTCCCTTCCTGTTCAAAGGGGGTTTTCCTCTCCACTGTCACCACTGTGCTGCTCAGGATGAGACTGATGAAGTGATTCAACACAACCTGCTGCTTCTTTTGTTTTTTTGTGTAACAGTGCCCTGAGACATTTGTTGTGACTTGGTGCTATATAAATAAACTGAACTGAACTGAAACGAAATCTGCTCAAATCAGCACTTCATCATTTCCAGACTCCATTTTTTGCCTTTCCTGCAGTAGATTGGTCCTGCTTTAATCCTGTTTATGTAGGATTACCTCAGATATGCTCTGATCATAAACTGCTGGGATCATTTTAAAATTATTTTTACTCCAGTATACCCACCATTGATTTGATTTGAAACTGTTTTCACATCACTTAAAACATCTGACCTTAGTACAACTCAGTTTATTTTAAACATTATGACCAACCTGGGTTAAAAAACAAAAACTTTGATTTTACTTTTGGAAACAGAAAAAAACCCTGATCTATTAAAGAAAAGGGAATCACGGTGACATAAAACAGAGATTAGTCCTAAAAGGTTCTCCAGTTTTTCACACATCCACTTCCTGTACTGAGCCATTAAATAATAAAAACACCTGTGACTGATGCTAAACAACCTTAGCAACACAGAAATATAAAAATGCACATATTTAGCTAAAATCTCTGCTGAGAAAGAGTCAGTTTTGTTGTTAATCTGGATCAGTTTCAGCTCTCAGTAATTTAATAGCTGAACACCAAGACTTTATCGCCCCTTGGTGGAGAAAAATGACACAGTTGTATAAACTTTGTCCTGAAAAACAAAAACAAGTACTTATGTGATTTAAGTAACCCTTTGTCGGCAGGTGATAATAAAATAAAACGATAGGAGCAGTTTTAATGATAAACAGACATACATCAGTGCAGTGTTGAAAAAAAACCTTTTATTTCATATCTGATCAGAATAAAAACAGAATACAAAGAATCCTCTGGTAAATTAAAACGACCCTGTAGAGGTAAAATAATTATAAACACGAGCCATAAAAGTGCAGCCGAAGAACCAGTAACGCCCTCCACCCCCACATTTCTGTACAAAAACACAAACACACAAATGTACACAAGGATCATGCTGAGCTGAGCTGTCTGCAAAACCTGGAGCTCTAAAAATACAAACAAACCAAGCAGAGCAAAGTCATATTAGCAAGACCTTACATATTAATAATTATTATTACTTTAAATCAGAGTTATAGCTGTGAGTCTCTGCAGGATTCTTCTAATACTCAGTAGTTTGATGTTCATGAGCTCTGAAGTGTGGGTATTTTTACATCATCAGATGTTTCTGCATGTGTTCTGTGTCAAAATCACTGATTTACAAACTGCATGCATTTAGTTAGGGTTTGCTCATTGTCTGTTATAAACACAGCTGCTAAAAAATATACATTACATTTTTGTCCTAAAACTGGTAAACAAAATCTAAAAAGAATAACATGCTGCCATTTGTTCTTTTTTTAAATGCCTATAATCATAATTTGAAAGTCCACCTTTTTAAGTTGTAAGAATTTATGTATAAATATATTTACATTTACAAGTATAACCTCAAGTGTACAAAAACACACAACAGATTCCAACACTGCATATTTTTAAACAAAAATGCAAAATGGAAAAGGTTGTTTTCAGTTTGCTGCTCTGCTACATGCAGGTGTGTTAACACGATGCCAGGGTGGGAAGACGTCAGCAGTGAGCGACAGAAAGATGCTGCTGCTCTTTTATCTGACAGGCAACAAAAGATCACGCCTGAATTATTTAGAGTGCATCATTCTACAGCAAAAAACAAAACAATAATAATAATAATAATAGTTTTTACAAGTGGAAATCATGTAAGAGCTGCTGATGTTCCCAGGAGTGGACAGCCTGGAAAATTCACCCCAAAGTCAGACTGTGCAATACCTCTGTAGACCACAGGGTCCTGGACTTAAATGTGAGTCCAGATGAAACTGTGGACTCGTGAGCTGGGCAGCTTTTCCATTTTGTTTTTGTTGATGAAATACCAACATGCTGCACTCTGTGGTGTTTTTAAACACTTAAAGGGATCCACGATTAGTTGTAATATCAAACTTTATTTGATAAACATTTATTTTAACTGTAAAATAAAGACTGTAAAAATACTGTAGGATGTTTAGTTTTTATAATTTTTTAAGATATATTTTAACATGGACAGAGCCATTTTATGTACACACAAAGCATTCTGGGTAAATGATGACGTGGATAGGTCCTCTGTGCTAAGTGTTAGCGAGCTATATCCACCCTGAAGGTTAATCTTGGACAATATCTGATGATCGACTCTTTTAAATGAAACCAGAGAGCGTTGACAGAGAGGAGAAGGTAGAAATGACTCAGCCTGGAACTGAAAATATGGATGGAGGACAACAGAGCTGCTTCATGGAAGAAGAACCTCAGCTTAGCCTGTTAGCCTTCGCGCTAGCCCTCACGCTATATTGCCTTATATGTATTAGCTCGGTGCTAGCGCGACAAACAAGCTAAACTGAGGTCCTCCATCCATATTTTCAGTTACAGCTGAGTCATTTTTGTGTTCTCCTCTCTGTCATGTGGATGGAGGACCTCAGTGATGAGAGGAGAATGTGCAGCGCTGAGCTAATACATATATATGGTGATAGTGTTGTGCTAGCGTGACAAACTAACAGGCTAATCTGAGGTTGTTCTTCCATGAAGCAGCTCTGTTGTCCTCCATCCATATTTTCAGTTCCAGGCTGAGTCATTTCTACCTTCTCCTCTCTGTCAACGCTCTCTGGTTTCATTTAAAAGAGTCGATCATCAGATATTGTCCAAGATTAACCTTCAGGGTGGATATAGCTCGCTAGCAGCCTCGCACCGAGGACCTATCCATGTCATCATTTACCCAGAATGCTTTGTGTGCAAATAAAATGGCCCCGTCCGTGTAAAAACTTAACGATATTTTTACAGTCTTTATTTTACAGTTAAAGCATATGTTTATCATATAAAGTCTAATGTTACAACTAATCATGGATCCCTTTAACATTAGATTTGAACAGTTTTAAAACGTGCTAAACACCAGATCATTTTATGTCCTGATAAATTCAACTCTTGGAGCTGAAGGTTTAGTTTATAGTGACTTGTATTTATGATTAGTCATCCTAATGGGTTTGTCTTTATTTGTATTACTGAGCCCAGAACCAGTCCATCCACTGGTCCTTGACATTAACACACAGTGTTCAGCCGACACATCTACATATCTTACACCACTTAGACTACATACCTCAGGGTTTACAAAGTCCCAGACCACGTGGTCCACGGGGTCCACTCAGTCCAGGTGCGTGGCTTTTACTCGGCTTCTTGCAGCAAACAGAGGTAGATGTTGGACTGGAGGAAGCGAGGGTAACAATCTGTGTCCAGCAGGGAGTAGATGCGCTTCTGTGCGTGCTGCAGCGAGCTGCGGGAGGGGGCCTGCAGCAGCTGCAGGGTCAGGTCTCTGGTCTTACTGTCCAGGTTCACCTGCAGCCAGGCAGCAGAGCAACAACAAGGCTTCGTTAAAGAACAACTCAAACACGCTCTGTTGACTCACTTTGTAGAGAAATAACTCAAATCATTACACAATCAGACATGTTCAGATCTGAGTCATCTAAGTCTGGACTCTGACTGAGCTCTGATGTTTGAGACCTTGATTGGACGATGCACACTAGACTCTTGGAGTTTGTGTTGTGAAGACTCAGCTACTAACACAACTAATGTAGCTCATTGTGTGTCAAACTGAGTTGTTGTCATTTTTGTGTTTCATGTTGATGTTTGGCTCAAAGTTTATCAGTTGTTGACGTCATGAACTCTGTGTGAACCTGTCAATAAACCAGACCAGACCAGACTAGACCAGACCAGACCAGACCAGACCAGTCTGTCCAGACCAGTCTGTCCAGACCAGACCAGACTAGACCAGCCCAGTCCAGACCAGTCTGTCCAGACCAGACCAGACCAGTCTGTCCAGACAGACCAGACCAGACCAGTCAGTCCAGACCAGACCAGATCAGACTAGACCAGATCAGACCAGACCAGTCTGTCCAGACCAGACCAGTCTGTTCAGACCAGACCAGTCTGTCCAGACCAGACCAGACCAGTCTGTCCAGACCAGACCAGACCAGTCTGTCCAGACCAGACCAGTCCAGACCAAACCAGACCAGTCTGTCCAGACCAGACCAGTCCAGACCAAACCAGACCAGTCTGTCCAGACCAGACCAGACCAGACCAGTCCAGACCAGACCAGTCTGTCCAGACCAGACCAGTCCAGACCAGACCAGACCAGTCCAGACCAGTCTGTCCAGACCAGACCAGACCAGTCTGTCCAGACCAGACCAGACCAGTCCAGACCAAACCAGACCAGTCTGTCCAGACCTGACCAGACCAGTCTGTCCAGACCTGACCAGACCAGACCATACCAGACCAGACAAGACCATACCAGACCAGACCAGACCAGACAAGACCATACCAGACCAGTCTGTCCAGACCAGACCAGTCCAGACCAGACCAGTCTGTCCAGACCAGACCAGTCTGTCCAGACCAGACCAGTCTGTCCAGACCAGACCAGTCTGTCCAGACCAGACCAGACTAGACCAGTCCAGTCCAGACCAAACCAGACCAGTCTGTCCAGACCTGACCAGACCAGACCATACCATACCAGACCAGACCAGACCAGACCAGACCAGACAAGACCATACCAGACCAGACCAGACCAGACAAGACCATACCAGACCAGACCAGACAAGACCATACCAGACCGTCCAAACCAGACCAACCAGACCAGACAGTCCAGACCAGACCGTCCAAACCAGACCAACCAGACCAGACCAGACAGTCCAGACTAGACAGTCCAGACCAACCAGACCAGACCAGACCAGACCATCCAGACCAGACCGTCCAAACCAGACCAGACCAGACCAGACAGTCCAGACCAGACTGTACAGACAAGACAAGACCAAACCGTCCAAACCAGACCAACCAGACCAGACCAGACAGTCCAGACCAGATCAGACCAATCAGACCAGTCTGTCCAGACCAGACCAGACCAGACCAGACCGTCCGAACCAGACCAGACCATCCAGACCAGACTGTCAAGACCAGACCAGAACAACCAGACCAGACCAGACCAGACCAGACCAGACAGAAAGAAAGAAGCGACTGGCTTACTTACTATATTTGCACTGGAATAAAATTTCAACAGAATAACCCTGGTTTTACTTCAGTATACTTTTACTGTAGTACTTTTCCACCTCTGACAAAGCCAAGAATCCAGTTTTGGGAGTCGTGAACATGAAAACAGGCTGTGATTTTCTAAAGCTTGGCTCTTCAAAATACAGCCTCACGACTCGCTGGTCACATGATCGGAAAAACTCAGAGCTCAGACAGACTGAAGCAGTAAAATTAACATATTTTCTCACAACTTTCCAGTAATTCTCGGTCTTTAATTAGTCTCCCAGCACTCAGAACTCAGCACCACATTATACTGTGTTCAGAAAAACAAAGACATTTTCACACAGAGGGGTTTAAACTGTATTCCTCTGAAGGAAGACAATTAGCAGCACTTTAACGACACTCCTTGGCTCACGAGGAAACACTGCACAAAAGGCAAAGTGCAGAGGAACAGTTCCAGGTTTCGTACCTCACGTGGAGAGCCTGCTTGGATGTACGTGGCGCTGATGTCTCTGGCCCTCCTCTGCAGGCTGAAGTTGTTGGAGGAATGGCTGTACTCCTCGCAGGCCAAGTAGAACTGCAGATTCTCCTCGCTGAACTCGGAGCGCAAAAACGCCCCGAACACGGAAACGCCAGCTGAAACGGGAAGGACTTCCATCAGCGCCTCACGCAGTTTTACAAGTCCTACATGTCGGGGCAACGACTCGCTGACACAGAGTAAACAAAGCAAGGAAAACCTCGGAGCACCAGTCTCTGTTAAACTGTCCAGGTCTGCCATGTTTGGACAGTGATGGTGCCACACATAAAGCAGAGTGAAGCTCCAGCTCAGAAATCACCACACATGTTTATTCACACCAAGAAATTCATGGCATAAAAACTAACTGTGTTAAATGTTTCATGTCAATAAACCTCAGCTGAGGTTCAGTTCACATGCACTGTGAGACTGGAAGAAAGAACACTTTAATAACTTTAACATGTGAAGTTAAAGTTTGTGGCCAATGTTCAAAGCTTATTTAATGTTATACATTGTGTTTTATGCTTATAACTCAGTTTAACAGTAAAATATATTCTGAGAACTAAAAGATATTTGCTTAAAATGCTGACATTACCTCTTTGGAGTCAATTGAAACAACTAAGAATAACAATAATTGTGGTGACAATGGGCCTCATGCAAGAACCGTTCGTACGCACAGATTTGTTCTTAAGTTGTGCGTACGAGTGATTTAGGAGAATTTGTGACATTCACCAATGTTTTCGTATTCTAAGATTTTTTTCAGATACGAACAAAATTCACGTGTCGTATATTTTACCAGCAGTCAGTCTGCTGTTATCCAGATGGGTTTTCTTCATTGATAACTTTATATTTCGTTATTTAGAAAATATTTCGTGTTGAAAATAAATCATATGTTGACAATAGTTTATTCTGTTTGAACTGGAATTAGATTTTAACGACATAAATTGATTAGATTAAGTTAAATTGGCTTTTATAATGCTGTTGTATAACACTATAATATTAATATGAAGATCTCAAACTAAAAAACAACTTAAATTATGCATTAATTGAAGTTTGG